ACCCATCGCCCGCACCCCTGGCCTGTCCATCTCCTCTCATCTTGCGCTAATCTTGGTGAGGATGAAATGCAAGGACCTCGGGTCAGGGGGCCTCACAAGGGTGGACCCTCATCCTGCCTCCCCGGCTTTTTATTGGGCCCAGGGACCCAGGGAATGTTCCAGAAGGAGCAGCAGTGGGGGCAGTGACCACATTCCCGATACCCCCATCCCCCACCCCCGGTTTCCCTGGGAGACTTAAGGCTGACTAGTGTCTGCAGCCTTTGTCCTTGGGCTAGTGACAGTGAATTGTGAGGGTTGTTTATCTTTCCCCTTCCCTCAAACCCCATTGGACTGCTCCTCTGAGAGACTCTTCTCCCCTAGCTGTGGCGCAAAAGCCCCTCCCCCAGTGGGAAGTTCAGGGTCAGGGGCAACTTGGAGGACCCAGCAGCCCAGGGTGGGGCCTGTGATTTCAGGACCCTGCTAAGTCTTTCTCCCCCTTCCCTTCAGGGGGTCCTTCACTGTCCAGCTGGGTCTCCTCTGTGGCTCATTGTGTCTTATCTGTCCTTTCTTGTGGCTCTGTGTAGATAGATGATGTAGATAGATGATTTTCTTGGCATGGTAGTTGCTGGATACACCATCCTTGTGTCTGCTGGGTACTCTCCTGCTATGCCTCCATTATTTCTTTTATTTATTTCTTTGCCCCACAAGCTTATAAAGGAGACTGTGGTCAGATGAAGCCATTGTCCTCCAATCTTAGGCAAGGCGGCCAGCGGTGGTAGTGGGGTGTGTGTGAAAGGAGCTGTCCATTGGTGCAGTCTTTCTAGCTTTGCTCTCCTCTCTGGTTTGGGGTGGGGAACAAGTAAGGGCTGCCGGTGGGAATGTGGGCAGATGAGAGTGCAGCAAATGTTGACCCTTTCTCAGGAATGCATCCTGTCGGGCATCATGTCCGTGAATGGGAAGAAGGTGCTGCATATGGACCGGAACCCCTACTATGGGGGTGAGAGCTCCTCTATCACACCCCTGGAGGAGGTGAGGCCACCTGAGCCCAGGCCCATCCCTTGTTAACCTTTGCATAGCTGAAGCGCTCCTTAGGTTCTCTGGCCAGGAGGGGCGGGAGAGGGAGGGTTGGTCTTGGAGGTGCATCTCTTTCTCTCCTTCCTGCTTGCAGCTGTATAAGCGTTTTCAATTGCTGGAGGGACCACCTGAGTCGATGGGCCGGGGCCGAGACTGGAATGTTGATCTGATCCCCAAATTCCTCATGGCCAATGGTGAGGGAGATGAAGGAGGTATTGTGGAGGGTGATTGGGGCAACCAGAGAAGGGTCAAGCTCCATAGACGGGGCAGCCAGAGCAGCTAGAGCTTCTGAGGGAGCCATGCTTATACTGTTGTCTTTCCCTCACCGCCCTGCAGGGCAGCTGGTAAAGATGCTACTGTATACAGAGGTGACTCGCTACTTGGATTTCAAGGTGGTGGAGGGCAGCTTTGTCTACAAGGGGGGCAAGATCTACAAAGTGCCATCCACTGAGACTGAAGCCTTGGCTTCTAGTGAGTGTGGGCCCCCTGAACCAGAGAATCATGGGGATGGGGGTGCCCCTTACCCAAGGTCACATTCCCCATGCAGTACCAGAAGCCCCCTTGCTCTGTCTTCCCTCTACCACCCTGAGCTGTGCCTCACACTGGTTGCCAGGAGGGAAGTCCATGTGCAGAAGGGATGTGTGTGGGGGGACTCCTTGAAAGACTTCAGCCTTTGACAGGGGCTCCACATGACCAGTGAAACATCCCCCAGTGTCAGAGCTGGGAGGGCCCTCAGAGCCTGCCCAGGTGGGGAAACTGAGGCTGAGAAGGGCAGAGGGGTTAATCTAAGGTCGCAGAGTGGTCAGCAAGAGAACTCAGCTGGGAGCTAGGGAACCTGCTTTCTTGGCCTTCCTAGTGGAAAGGAGAGGTTCATGTTTTGTGGTGCGAAGGCTCTCCTTGCATCACCTCCACAGATCTGATGGGTATGTTTGAGAAACGGCGCTTCCGCAAGTTCCTGGTGTTTGTGGCAAACTTTGATGAGAATGACCCCAAGACCTTTGAGGGCGTCGACCCGCAGAGCACCAGCATGCGGGAAGTCTACCGAAAGTTTGACCTGGGCCAGGACGTCATTGACTTCACTGGCCACGCCCTGGCACTCTACCGCACTGATGAGTGAGGGGAAGCTCGCACAGCACACTGCACCTTGCCTGGGCTGCCCCCTGCCCTCCCCCTCCTGCCTGCTGCTCTCTCAGCCCACTGTGCACATCTCTTGTACTCAGCCACACCCTTACCTGTTGCTTTTTCCATTCCTTCCTTGTGTTTAATCCATAGGCTTCCCCAGGTCATTGAGGGTGGGAGAATGCTGGCCTGGTGCCCGGGTGGGAGTGAGCTAGGGGTTTTGCTGTTGGAGCCTCTTCTCCTGACCCTGTTCCTCCAGCTACTTGGACCAGCCGTGTCTTGAGACCATCAACCGCATCAAGTTGTACAGCGAGTCCCTGGCCCGGTATGGCAAGAGCCCATATTTATACCCACTCTATGGCCTTGGCGAGTTGCCTCAGGGCTTTGCAAGGTGAGGGCATGGCTTCTTTCTGTTGGCAGTACTGAGTAGGACTAAAGCCAAGAATGGGAACAGCCCCCTTGAGCATTTTCATAGCATTCTGAACCTTGCCCTTGTGGTCTTCATTTACTTTGCATCTTCCTTGGGTAATGGGAGTGCCACAGCAGTGTGTTAAAGTACAGAGTTGAAGAGGCAGGCCACCACAGATGGAGCTTGCTCGTCTCCTAGACTGAGTCAGGCAGTGCTAGGACTGGGCCAGGATCCTTGGAACCTTGAGTCAGAGCTTCTCCAGAGCCCTTCATTTTATTCCCCAGACCGCTTCTGTGAGGAGCTATGCCCGCATGCCACCTTTACACTAGCCCTTTACAGGGTATTCTGGGTGACTGGTCTGGGAAGAACCATTGGGTCTCCTGAGCTCTGCCTGCTTGGGGCAGCTTTCTCTGTACCCCAGTGCTGGTGGGGGGAGGGTACAGTGGCAATGGTCCCTGTTTCTCCTGGATGGGGTACTTCACCATCACTCTCCCCGCCACAGATTGAGTGCCATCTATGGGGGTACATATATGCTGAACAAACCTGTGGATGACATCATCATGGAGAATGGCAAGGTGGTGGGTGTGAAGTCTGAGGGAGAGGTAAGCGTTTCTCAGAGTGCAGTCATGATGGTCTGGGTGGAGTTTGTTCTTCTCCTTAGAGGTTCTTTTCCCAGTGACCCTGACTCTGCTGGGTTTGCTGCTTCTCAGCTGTAAGGGCCTCGGGTTGTGCACTGGGGCTCCAGAAGAAGTCTACATAGCCATTCCTGTTGGCAAGAGGTATCTCTCAAAGCCAGTGTGCTGTGTCAGTGGTCCAGGAAGTGTTTCTGATCACAGTATCTCAGCAAAGGGGGTTGCCCAACCCTGTATATCGGGCTTATCTCCCTGAGATGCAGAATGAAGCTGTGTGCTACAGGAAGGGCAGTGGTGACAGCTCAGAGGAGCACCCTGCCTGCCAGAGCTACCAGGCCCTAGCTCTGGGCCCATCCCCGTGACTACCTAAGGGAGTGTTGGATAGAGACAAGTCATTTTGGTGCTTTCACAGGTGGCTCGATGCAAGCAGCTGATCTGTGACCCCAGCTACATTCCAGACCGTGTGCGAAAGGCTGGCCAGGTTATCCGCATCATCTGTATTCTCAGCCACCCCATCAAGAACACCAATGATGCCAACTCCTGCCAAATAATCATCCCCCAGAACCAGGTCAACAGGAAGTCAGGTAGGCCAAGCCCCATGTGACTTCCTCCAGGGTGTTGTCTTTGAGGTGACTCTGCTTCTCCTTATAAGCCTTGGGGCTCTCTGCCTGATCCCTCCATGAAGAATAGGGACCTGCATCACAGTCCCCATGACTTAGGGCCCTAGGGATTGGGTGGCTTGGACTCTTCCCCTTCATGAGTGTGGCAGCTTGGATGCTGCCTGCTTTGTGGAGCTGGGGAGGGTCAGGCAGGCCCAGTTTGAGCTCATCCCTGGGAGCCCTTTGTGTGCTCACTTTAATGGAGCGCTTCCTCTGGACAGACATCTATGTGTGCATGATCTCCTACGCGCACAATGTGGCTGCTCAGGGCAAGTACATCGCCATTGCCAGCACCACGGTGGAGACCGCAGAGCCTGAAAAGGAGATTGAGCCGGCCCTGGAGCTACTGGAGCCCATTGACCAGAAGTGAGGGGCTTGGGGGAGGAAGGGAACCAAGGAGCTGGGGAACTAGGGGACAGAGACCAGGGAGGGCAAGGCTGATTGTGAGGACTATCTCCTCCCCTCCATCTGCCCCTCAGGTTTGTGGCGATCAGTGACTTGTATGAGCCCATTGACGATGGTTCTGAGAGCCAGGTAAGCAGCCTGTCCCGGCCCCGGCTCCTGGCTGCTTGCCCAGGACCCCTGCCCAACTCACCCTGGGCCCCGGCTCTGGCTGTTTTCAGGTGTTCTGTTCCTGCTCCTATGATGCCACCACACACTTTGAGACAACCTGCAATGACATCAAAGACATCTACAAGCGCATGGCAGGCTCCGCCTTTGACTTTGAGAACATGAAACGCAAACAGAACGATGTCTTTGGAGAAGCTGACCAGTGATTGCTGATCCTCCCCCAGCCCCAGATGCCCTCTCCCCTGTTCCCCAGAACTAAGGAGATGGGTGTGGCTGGGCACCCGTTTCCAGCATCCTCTGCTTCCCCCACCACATTCCTGTCACCCACGTCATTGATTCACTGACCAAATCCTTAATCTTAGTGATGGTTTGGGAGACGGGTGGGGGGTTGGATAGCATCCTCTTTCTTGGCCCTTCCTATCCTGGGAAAAGAGGGTTCTTCTTGTGTGTGTTTCTTCCCCCTTCCCCTAATTCTTCTGCTCTGTTTGGGAAGAACGCAGAGGAAAAGCTGACTTCTGCCCCCACCACTCTTAATCCCACTGTAGTGGCCTTTGGAGATGCCCCCTGCCTCCCCCCACCAACTCTTGCGTGTTGGAGAGAAGGGGCCCTCCCAGCACAAAGTTTCATCCTTCATTCCTCCCCACCCTGTTAATTTATTCTAATTTATTAACTTCTGCCCACCCTGTCTGAGAAGGGAGTTCTGTACCCCTCCCTCGCAGTCTTTTGGTGCAGCCTGGGGCTGTGGAGCAGCTCCCCTGGCTACCTGGGCAGCCTGGGAGAGGGAAGGGCTTGGGTGTGGCCCCATTGGAGGTTGATCTTGCTGTTTTTGATTCTTTGTGTCTTTGTGTTTGTGTCCTTTGGTACTGAGAGAGAAATGTGAGCCAAGCAGAAGGAGGTGGGAAAATGGATCCAGATCCCCCAGTGTGCCCTGCCCTCACACCTTTCCTTTAGTGGTGGGAAACCCTTATCTTGCAAAGTGAATGTGTGCCCTTCCCCAACCTCTAGTGTACTTCACAGAAAACAAAACCTCCCAATAAAACTGTGTGGAAACCTGAGCCCAGATCTTCAGCTTTATTTTCCAAAAGCTGGGCACAGGGCGGGGCCTCAGCTTCCCTGGGGTGTCCTGCTGTCCTTATGAATTTGGGACTCTGTCTTAGCTTGGCTCCTGATGTCTACAAAAAGGTCACTTTCTTTATCAGGGAATTAAAGAGCTCCTGAATTGAAAGAACTTGTACAGAGGAAACAGGTCACATCAACCTTCCCAGGGCCAGCCAGCAAGTTAGTGCTGGCACCAGGACTGCAACCCGTGGGGGTCAATGCCAAAGAAAGCCAGAGAGGGATCTGGCCTGAGGTGGGTGGGGGTTGAAGCAGAGGGAACAGGGTCCTTGTCTCTAGATCAAGGAAGAGGAGGCAGAGGGGACCCAGGCCAGCCTCATGGTCTGAGGAAATGGAGGACTGGGACCCAGCCTTGGGTGAAGGTCAAACTGGTAGAAGCAGGGGAAACGTGCTGCCTCAGGGCAGCAGCAAGGGGAATCTGGCTTTGGGACCGGCCAATACCAAGTGGAAGGCCCGGGGGCTCAGCCTTTGGATCAACAGGAGGAAGCAGAAATGGGGAACTCGGCCTCAGACATGGGGTTAACNTATATTGTTTATCACTTGACATTCAATATCCAATTAGTGAGTGAATGACTTAATGATCAATTATCTTTTGTAACAAATGGTACTCTCAATGCTTGGATTTTTATAAAAGTTGTTGCAATATAAGATTAAATCTTTTTGAAGTTTATAAAGATCGTCATTGTAAATATTTTAATTTTTAAATATTTTTATGTACACATTTTGAAAACTAAATTTTATTTTTGCTTAATTAGAAAAAATAATACACTTACACATTTGTAAATTAGTATTTGGAAAATTTTACATTCGAATTAACTTTAACATTTAAAAAGATTTTGAATTCTCTACCCAAAACTTTAAAAAGTCATGCTAACTTTAATCACCCCAAATTGTAAAGTTCCTTATTACTGTCCTCTTTATCTTTCCGATAAAATATGTATATTTCAAAATTACACTCTTTAAAAGTATTTCAACTTGTCAAAAAGTCAAATGATTTAAAATCTAGCTTAATGTTTCTTTTCTGTTGCTATAAAGCTGAGTGTACTGTTTGATACTGTAAGTTAAAAAAAAGCTTTTTGTGTGTGTCCTGTAAATTTTTCTTCCTCAGATGTCTCCCTCCTTTGGAAATGTACCCTCTGTAAGTGTTCGAGGGGAACCTGGAAGAGAGGAACAGTTCTGAGCTCTCAGCCTTCCCTTCCGCCCAGCGGTTCACTTTAAAAAGCTAAAAGGAGAGGGGGTGGGGCGGGCGGGGCGCCTGCGCCTGCGCCTGCGCGTCTTCTAGTAGTCGACGTCACGGCGCCGGCGTCGGCGGACTGTACGTGCGCCACGGTCGCCGCAGCCATTTACTCAACCGAGCTGCTGTCTCTGTAGTCGCTGCTGCCGCTGCTGCCGCGTCTGCCGCCATGGCTCAGTACAAGGGCGCCGCGAGCGAGGCGGGCCGCGCCATGCACCTGATGAAAAAGCGAGAGAAGCAGCGCGAGCAGATGGAGCAGATGAAGCAGCGGATCGCCGAGGTGCGGGCTGGGTCGGGGCACCTCAGAGCATGCGCGCTGCGCACTTTCCTGGCCCCCTGGGGCCCCGTGCGACCTGGGGAGGGGGACCCTTGCTCGCTGACCTCCAGCAAGGGGCAGAAGCGAACCGGCGACAGTCTGCTCATCTGTAAAATGGGCGCAGAAGGCTGAGCCGAGCTAGCTTGTGACAAGTCTCCAACTGGAGGGAGCAACAGTCACTGGTTCCATTGGTCACATTGGGGAGCCTCTCTCGGGCATAGAACATCCTGGCTCTGGCCCCTGAGCCATGAGAGTGAGGTCTCCACCCTTAGCCAATGGATACCGGGAAGGGCAGGCCCCAGTCAGTCCACCAGTTGGTGAGGCTCTTTCCAGAGCCCTTTGCCCCGCAACAAATGTAGGCTTGAGCATCAGGGATGCTAGCGGTTCACAAAGGGATTCAGTGAGTGGGAGGTCAGGAAGAAAGGAGCCCCCACTTGGGCCCTTGCAGTAGACTTCCTTTGGAAGAGTATGAACTCAGGACATGAGGGGCAAGCAGACTCCTACCTTACGTCCTATGGAAGCTGAGCTCAAGCAAAAGGCCCCATGCTGAGGCCTCAGTTCATGCCCCACAGTCTCAGTGCTGACTCTCCAGAGGTACATTTCTCTGCTGGCCACCTCCTCTGGAGGCCACTGACCAGAGAGGGATCTATGTGAGATGGGGTTGAGCTGGTGCAAGAAAGCCTCATGAGAAGCTGTTAGAGCATCTGGAGCTGAGGGGGAGCCACATTGCTCAGCGAGGGACTAGGTCCCTTGGCCACTCTTCACTATCCTGTCGCCCCTTGGCTTGGGTCTCCAGAGCTTCAGCTTAAAAGCTGGGTGTGGCCCTGACCGGTGTGGCTTGGTTGGAGCATTGTCCTGTACACCAAAAGGTGGCTCTTCCTAGTCAGGGCACATACCTAGGTTGAGGGTTCGATCACTGGTCCGGGCACATGCTGGAGGCAACTGATCTGTTTCTCTCTCACACTGATGTTTCTTTCTCTCTCTCTTTCTCTTTCTCTCTCTAAAATCAATAATTTTTTTTTTAAAAAAAGGCAGGTAGAACCTGTGGCTCCAGGCTACTGAGGGAGCTCTGGTCCCCAGTGGGAGGCATGGAGGTGCTAGAACAGCTCAGAGGAAACAACCCAGTTTGGCTCCCTTAGCACTGAAAGAGCCCCTCACAGCCCTGTAGAACCTTCCATGGACCAAGGAAAGGGGACACATCTTTCCCAAGGTCATATTATAGGCCAGGAGCAGATCTGGGACTGGAACCCAGGCCCAGGTCCCAACTTCCACTGTGGGGTGGTGGGTGGCCCTCACCACTACTCTCCCTCCCCTACAGGAGAACATAATGAAATCCAACATTGACAAGAAGTTCTCTGCGCACTATGATGCCGTGGAGGCAGAGCTCAAGTCCAGCACCGTGGGTAAGCAAAGCACGCATGTCACCCTCTCCTGGACCCAGAGAATTGTTACTTTGCTGGCTCTGGGTGACCAATCCTTACCCCCATGTCTCCTGGCCTCACAGGACTTGTGACCCTGAATGACATGAAGGCTAAGCAGGAGGCACTGGTGAAGGAACGGGAGAAGCAGCTGGCCAAGAAGGAGCAGTCGAAGGAGCTGCAGCTGTGAGTCTTGTCCTCCATGCTGGCAGCCCCACTCTGAGATGTAGCTAGTGCTTGGGGTTGGGTCAGGCTTGTTCCTGCATTTTGAAGGGGGACCCTTGTGTCATAATCCGAGCCCTGCCTATGAGCTTAAAGTGATCCATGGCAGTAGGACTCCCCAGGGTCTGCACCATGTGGGCCCCACACTGAGCACATAGGTAGCTCTGGGTCAGGGAAGGGACCTCAGGGTGAAGATGTGGTGCATGATGGCTATTCGTGCCTCGGCAGGAAGCTGGAGAAGCTGCGAGAGAAGGAGCGCAAGAAGGAGGCCAAGCGGAAGATCTCCAGCCTGTCCTTCACCCTAGAGGAAGAAGAGGAGGTGGGCGAAGAGGAAGAGGAGGAGACCATGTATGAAGAGGAGTTGGAAAGGGAAGGTGAGGGCAGGCTTTGGGGCACCAGGAAGGGGCCCTGCCTGCAGTGCTCTGTTCGAGGTTTCTGGCTCTAGAGTGAAGAAGCACATCCACCACTTAGCCTTCATTGCCCACGGCATTTGTGGTCCTAATCTTTGTATGTCAGGGCAGGAGAGAAAGAGCCAAGTTTGCACTGCGTGTAAAGCTGAGTTGGGGCGGGGCCTCGCCTTCACTGGCAGAGTGAATCAGAGCCAATTGTGCGGCCCCTGTACAGGGGCATGGGGTCTTCAGTGTGAGAGGCTGCCAGAGTGAGCTGCTTGTAGATACCATGAAGGATGGACTGAGGACGAGAGAGGATGGTCTAGATCAGGCTGGCCGGTAGAACTTTCTGTGATTATGGAAATGTACATGTCTGTGCTGCCAGGTGGCCACTGAGCATGTGACTGGGGCACCAAATTGTTAAGTTCTGTTTGATTAATTTCAGTGTAAATTGACAGAGTCATAGAAATTCAGTGGCTATTTATTGGGCAGTGCAGGACTCAGCTGAAGAAACAAGGGGTTATAGGGACAACTTGGAAAGGCTGGGGAGCAAGGATGAAGCCTGCATGAGGCTTCATGTGCCATGTACCTGCTTCAGGCTGGGCCAGGGCCCAGACAGACAAACAAAAGCAGGGCACTGTTGCCCTGTCCAGTGTAACTTGGTTGAGCATCGTCCCCTGTGCTGAAAGGTTGCTGGTTTGATTCCCAGTCAGGGCACATACCCAGGTTATGGGTTCAATCCCTGGTTGGGGTGTGAATGGGAGGTAACCAATCGATGTTTCTCACATCAATGTTTCTCTCTCCCTGCTACCTTCCTCTCTCTCTCTAAAATCGATTAAAATATATATGTTTTAAAAAGCAGGGCACTGTCCCTCTCATTGGAATCACGTGTCAGCATACAACCTGCCAGGGCCAGCCCAGGGGCCAGCCCAGGGCTCAGAGAGTGTGTCCCATGGGAGGACAGTTGAGTTGGGCCTTCAGGATGAGGAGAATTTCATTAGCAGCCAGAGAGATGGGGGGGTTGGGAAATGTGTAGAGTCAAGAAATGAGTGAGCCCAGAAATGGAGTGGCAGGAGTGATACATTTGAGGACTTGGGAGGGTGCAGTGGCAGGCCTGCACTGGTTTAGAAAGCGTGAAAGCTAAGGAATGGTATGAGATGGCACTGCTCAGTGTTGTAACAGGCCAGGTGTGACAGCTTTAAGGGGAGTGGCTGATATGGGCAGGAAGAAGCTTGTGAGCCTCCTGCATTTTTTTTTTTTTTAAATATATCTTTATTGATTTCAGAGAGAGGAAAGGAGAGGGAGAGACAGAGATAGAAACATCAATGATGAGAGAGTAATTGATCGAGCCCACAACCCGGGCATGTGCCCTCACCGGGTATCGAACTCCGATCGCCTGGATCCTAGGTTGATGCTCAACCGCTGAGCCACGGCCGGCCGGGCTCTCCTGCATTTTGAGTATCCAGGAGCCACAGTAAAACGTGAAAAGAAATGGGTGAAGTTAATTTTAGTACTATTTAGTAATATTAAGTATTTAGGGATATTTGGTATCTAAAATATTACCATTAGCACATCATCACGCAAGCTACGTGTCTTTGTGGCAGAGGCTACCTGTTTGGATAGCTCAGGTATGGGGGAAGGCTGTCAACCTCACTGTATATCACTGGGGTTTCGTTGGGGCTTTCCTCCCCACAGAGAGAGAGAGAAAGAAACATCGATGTGAGAGAGACAGATCGATTGGTTGCCTCTCACTCACCCTGACCAGGACTGGGGATGGAGCCTGCAACCAAGGCATGTGCCCTTGGCTGGACTCGAACCCGGGACTCTTCAGTCCCAGGGCTGATGCTCTAACCACTGAGAAAACTGGCCAGGGCCATTCTTGGCCTTGTGCACTCTGATTCTCACAAGTGTGAAGTAGAGCTTTCCAGAGGCTATGTGACATGATGACATCATTACTCCAACAGGTAACAGTGCTTGTCTTTCTGTTCTAGAGTTTTCAGTGTTTCTCAGGCTCTATTTCTAACTTGGTAAATATCAATGGCTACAACCCCTGTAGATAAGAGCTCTCTGGGGTCCTCGGTAACTTGTAAGAGTGTTCAGGGTATGCTGAGACCAGCAAGTTGAAGAACCAGCTTTGGTTCATCCATATAGGTTCTAATTGGGGAGACCAAGTCCCAGAGTCCAGGATGTTGGCAAGGCTGGCGTTTCTTTCCCTTCTCCTCATTGGCTCTGGTCTTAGTAGCCATGGAACTTTGGGGTTCAGTTTCCTTGAATGGAAAAAAGGAATGTCATGCCCTTTTGGGGCTGTTGTGAGGATTAGATGAGACATTAGATATGTGACTGTGGGCCCTGGCCAGGAGCTCAGTTGGTTAGGGCAGCGTCCTGATATGCCAAGGTTGCGGGTTCGATCATCGTTCAGGGCACATACAAGAATCAACTAATGAATGCATAAATAAGTGGGACAGCAAATCAATGTTTCTCTCCCCCTCTCGCTGTCCCTCTCCCTTACCCCCTCTCTCTCTAAAAAGTCAATTAAAAAAAAAAAGTGACTGTGATGAGCACAACTCCTGGCACAGAGGGGGCTGTCCCCCAAGCACCCCCCCTTCTGTGGTTTCCCTACCCATCCAATGCAAAGGAGCCTTTGCTCTCTCAGACACTGGTACTGATGCCTTAAGTATTCTGACATAGTCTAGGTCAAAGCTGATGGGACAAGAACGCAGTATATGTATGTGTGTGTGCGTGCATGTGCATGTGGAGCCTGCAGTCCCAGCCCTGATACCACAGTGCAGGCCGCTGTCGCTGAGAGCAGAGGGTGGTGTGTTCCAGCCAGGATGGTCTAGGAAGACTCCAAGGAGGTGGTGTTTGAGCTGAGGCCTGAGCAACAAAGGTCCAAGGTGCCCTGGAAGCAGGGCCCATCGTGCAACTGACTCTTGTGTTTCCTTTGGTTCTAGAGATGCCCACGAAGAAGAGGAAGTTGGGGAAGAACCCAGATGTGGACACTAGCTTTTTGCCTGACCGTGACCGTGAGGTAAAAGCAGCCAACCCCAGCCCTGGCCCTGACCTTGGCAGAGGCTTTTACTCAAGGAGTGGGGCTCTGCATGTCCTCTGAGTAGCCTTGGCCCTCCCTCCTGTAGGAGGAAGAGAATCGGCTCCGGGAAGAGCTGCGGCAAGAGTGGGAAGCTAAACAGGAGAAGATCAAGAGTGAGTGTTCACCAAGTGGGAGCTGCATGGCCCAGCCTGAGGTGCTGTGGCAGTGAGAGCTGGGGGCTGGAGGCTGAGCCTCAGGGAGCTTTCTGGGGGCTGGGGACACATGGTTCTGGAGGCTAAGTGGCAATTCTGCTTTGTAGGCGAGGAAATTGAAATCACCTTCAGTTATTGGGATGGCTCTGGGCACCGGCGGACAGTCAAGGTGGGCAGTGTGGGGCCTGCACCCCACTCCATGTGCTCAGATTCAGTGAGAAGGAACTTTAATCTTGGTGCTTTGGAACCCTGCAGGCCCTTTCATGTGGGTGGCCCCTGGATATCCTGGGGGGAGCAGGGAAGAGGCCCTGGCCACCTGTGATGGTAGTGAGGGCTCCAAGGTCCCTGGTAGGAACCTCTGGGCCACTGCCTTTTTGAGAACCCTTCTCCAGGCTCCCATCTTTCCCTCCCAACTCTTTGGTGTCCTGGGTGCCACTCTCGGGCCCTTGTGCAGATGAAAAAAGGCAACACAATGCAGCAGTTCCTGCAGAAGGCACTTGAGATCCTGCGCAAAGACTTCAGTGAACTCAGGTAAGAGGTGTATGCACATGTATGTACACGTGCATGAACATGTGTGAGCATGTGTATGCGTGCATTACATGTGTAGCCTGCAGTCTCAGCCCTGGTACCAGAACCCCCAAGTGGTGGCTGCTGCTTGTGGCACACCAGGATGACTACTCCCTGTGTAGGAAAGTGGCATGCTGGCACTATTCTCCTGAGAAGAGGGTCAGGATTCTTTTTCCATCCCTCTAGCCACACATAGCTTAAGTGGGAGCATTGGCCTTAGCTCTTTAGCCCAGAGGTGGAGGAGAGTGGGCCCTACTCCTGGGCTCATAAAACTTAGCAACCTGCCTCAGCGCAGTTGGGGTTGTCTCCTTGGCTAACTGCTGCTTCATCCATCCATGCCCCCCTGCCTTTCTCCCTCAGGTCAGCAGGGGTAGAGCAGCTCATGTACATCAAGGAGGACCTAATCATACCCCATGTGAGTCCCCTCTCTCTTCCCACAGCCCTGGCACTGGGAGGGGTGGTGGGCTTCGGCATGCCTAGGGGCTTTGTGGAACAGCTCTGCTCTGCTCTGGGGCCTTGGCGCAGGCTGAGGGGCGCAATGTCTGTAGCTGTGCCTGCATCCAGCCTGTGGGTGCAGGTGGGTGGGAGAGGCTGAGATGGGTCATCAGCCATGTTTTTCCTGCCCTCGGCTCCTAGCACCACAGCTTCTATGATTTCATCGTCACCAAGGCACGAGGAAAGAGTGGTGAGTGTGCCCAGCCCAGCCCCTCCCCTTCCCAGCAACTTGCCCCCAACATATCCGGGCAGCAGCCTGAGAGTGGGCTGGCTGCTTCTCCCCTGCAGGGCCACTCTTTAATTTCGATGTTCATGATGATGTGCGGCTGCTCAGTGATGCCACTGTGGAGAAGGACGAGGTACACTGGTGCAGGGGCACTGGGCCGGGGAGGGAGGAGCAGTGGAGGAAAGGAGAATTGGAGAAGTCAGGCCCTCGGGTGGCCCTTCCCCCTTCCTCAGTCACATGCGGGCAAGGTGGTGCTAAGGAGCTGGTACGAGAAGAACAAGCACATCTTCCCTGCCAGCCGCTGGGAACCCTACGACCCCGAGAAGAAGTGGGACAAGTACACGGTAAGGAGGGCCCTCTGAGGTGGCCCTGGTACTGGGCTGGTCAGCTGGAGCTGGGGGATGATAACTGGCCTGGCTGGGGCTAGGCTGTACTGTTCTGCTAGAGGACCACAAGCAATAGTCCAGCCCACCCTGCTCAGCTCTGCTTCCCTTCTGTGTTCCTTTGTCCTCACACTAGATCCGGTGAATGCAGAGGTGGAGCAGGCTCACTCCTCCAGTTTCCTCTAGTCTCCCAACTCCCTGGGTCTCCAGGACTCCAGATGCCCAGCTCCCCTGTCCTGTGGCATCACTGATCATCCCCTACCCCTGATGCTGTCATTTACTGCTCTTTTCTTTTGCAATAAAGAAATGCACATGTCAGAGTCAGAGCACATGTACTGTGTTTTATTTTAAAAACACATTTTTGAGCCCAGCCTGCATGTCTTAGTGGTTGAGCATCAACCTATGAACGAGGAGGTCACAGTTCCATTCCAGGTCAGGGCACATGCCAGGGTTTGGGGCTCAATCCCCAGTGGGGTGTTTGCAGAGGAGGCAGCTGATCAATGACTCTCTCATCATTGATGTTTCTATCTCTCTCTCCCTCTCCCTTTCTTTCTCTGAAATCAATAAAAAAGTATTAAAACCCCCCACACTTTTGAGATAAAATTCACAGTAACATAAAGTTCACCATTTTGGCTATTTGCCAGTGTATAATTCAGGAGTATTTTGTACATTGACAATGTTGTGCAACCATCACCTCTGCCTAGTTCCAGAATATTTCCAGCACTCCAAAAAGAGACCCCATACTCATTAACAGTCTCTCCCTCAGTCCCTGGCAATCTCTAGTCTACTTTCTGTCTGTATGGATTTGCCTATTCTGGAAGTTTCACATAAATGGAATCATGCAGTATTTGTGGTCTTTGTGTCTGGCAAGAAAGTGTGTGTTTGGTAGGGGTGGAAGGGTGGAAGAGGATTGGGTGGGAATGTGAATGTGAGTCTGTAGAGGGAGAAGGGGGGCATTTGTAACCCACAGGGGTCTGGGCAGGTCCAGCCATCCCTGCAGCCAGCCCACCCTCCCCAGGGCACCTATGAGGCATTGAGGTTCTTTACTGTGAGTGGGAGGGGCATTGCACAACAGGCCTCCCTCCCAGGCCCTTGGGCACCTCTTGTGTCTCTAAGCTGCTTGTTCTATAGGGGACAAGGCTGTCCTGTGGCTCCCAGCCACCCTACATCAGTACCACAGCTATGCAAACTCATCGTGGCCTTCCTTGCTCTGGGCCCTTCCCAGCTTCTCTCCTTAATCCCAACATGGGAAGGCTGCTGTGAGTGCCCTGCTCAGACTGCCCTGGGGTGGGTCAATTTCATGGCCCTAAAGAGGGAATCTGGCTTAGGGGTGGATGTTCCCCAGTTCCCCTTGGGTAAGCTGAGGCAGGCACACCTGGCTCCAGGAGGCTGAGGAAGGCAAGGTGACCACTCCTTGCTCCTTCCCTTCTCCCCTTTGCCTGAGGCCACACAGAGGGGGCAGGGAACAGCCCCTGGCTGGTAGGGAGCTTCTAAGCTCTGGGTCTGGCTCCACCTCCCTGGCAAATGTGTGGGCTTTGCTGGATGCAGAGGCTTCTATGCCCTTCCACAGGCAGGACCCTGTGTTCTATTCAGCCACAGCCTGGGGAGGCTTGGCTGGCAGCTAGGAGCTCTCACTCAGGCTTCCAGGCCCTGGGTCTGAGATGTGACCATCTGGGGTCACTTGGAGGAGGGAGGAGGGTAGAGTAGGCCAGAGTACCTTGGACACAGCCAGGAGGGGGTGGCCAGGCTTGACCTTAGGTCTTGAACAAGTCTGGGGAACCTCAATGGGACCTTTTGTTTGGTTCCAGGAACCCTAGAGAGGGGATTGTTTGGCCTTCTGCACCAACCCCCTCTTGCATTCTTTGAGAAGCCACCAGAAGAGCAGGCTTCCCAGGGAAATGAGCCCCTCTCAGCCAGCTCAGCCAGTGGCAGATGGTTTCCAAGGGAGCTGTCTTTAGCCTTGCACCTCCTGGAAAACAAGCTCCTTGAGACCCAGTTTTGGGTCCTAGCAGGGAGGGAGCTGGTTTCTGGAAACCCCTCTAAGTTGCTGGGAGGTTGGGCTGAGGGAAGAGGGAGCCCTTTGGAGTCAGGATCAAAGGGCAGGAGGACTGTCAAGGAAGGAGACCCACTTCCCTGTAGCCAGTGAAGAGATGGGAAATGCTGCACTATGGTGGGGGAGCCCAAGGGAGGAGCCCCTTATCTTAAGTAAGGACTGCGGTGGCAGTCTGGAAGACCAAACTGGAAGAACATTGGCAGAGCAAGCTTCTTGCAGCTGTCCCCTCAGTTTCTGCCTGGAGAGGGGACTGTCTAGCCTCAGGGCTCTCTCCTTGGGACCTTGGATTCATGTGAATGTGGAGCTCAGAGGTGAGGTTGGGTAGCTGCCAAGAGAAGATGTGGAACTGCTATCTGATATTCTGTAACTATATGAGGTCGCTGAAGTCAATAAGTGGCCAAAACAATATTTCTGGGGACCAGTGTGCCAGAGCCAGAGGTGGGTTGGTTCCCAAAGACACAATGATGAGAGGAAGGCCAGCTGTACCTTACTTGCCCAGGCTTCATTCATTGTATGTGTGTGTGTGTGTGTGTGTAGGTGGGCGAGTGGGTGTGGATATAAACAACAAATAGGGAAACAAAACAAACAAGCAAGATGAGGAGGCCTTTCTGGTGTGGTGACATTGAAGCGGACAAGCATGGCAAGTCAGCCATTCCAAAACTGGGCAGGGGGTGATCCACTTGTAAAGACATGAGGTAAGTGGGAGCTGAAATGGAGGGAAGGAGGGAGGGGAAGAAGAGGCACTGAGGAAAGGTCAAAGAGGTAGCTGAGTGGGAAGAAGGGGATGGTGACCTTTTCTTGTTTACCTTGAACTGTTCTGCAGAGGCCAGAAATTTACCTGGTTCACACATCACAAAAGGGTGGACCTACTGATGCTTACCTCTACCCAGCCCTCTGGCCCAGTTCTCACAATGTCCCCAACAAAGAAGCACTTGCATTTGTCACTTAATATATTTGAATATCCTACATGTCTCTCCATATCTGTGCATGCAGAGCATCCTTATTCTTTCTTTTAAAGTAGTATAATTAATTTTCCAGATATTGGCAAATTCTTTTTCCTAGGGCCTGACCCATTTTGCGGCTCCACCAGCAGATGAAAGAGTCATGGCTTGCACAGGGTACTGTTACTCTCCACCAGGGGACATATGCACATAACAAAAATAACCATTAACCATTTAAAAATACACATTTTGGTGGCATTTTGTACATTCACAATGTTATGCAACTATCACATCCATCTAATTCCAGAACATTTTCATCACTTCAAAAGGAAACCCTATACCCACTGAACAGTCTCTCTTCATTCCCCTCCCCCAGCCCCTGGCAACCACCAATCTATTTTCTACCTGTCTGGATTTGCCTGTTCTGGAAGTTTCACATACGTGGAATTATACAATTAAAGATCTACATAGACAGAAACATCCCATGTTCATGGATTGGAAGACTCAATACTGGCGGGATGACTGTATTTAGTTTCTATTGCCATGTAACAACAAAAATTCAGTAGCTTAAAACAATGCTCATTTATTACTCGACAGTTTCTGTGGGTCAGAAGTCTGAACATGATGGAACTGGATCCTCTGCTCATGGTCCCACAAGGCTGCAATAAAGGTTGGCTGGGCTGCCTTCTCATCTGATATGCAGGGTCCCCTCCCAAGCTCACATGCTTCTGAGTAGAATTCAATTCTTTGTGACTGTAGGACTGAGGTCTCTGTTCTCTCATTGGGTATGGGCCAGGGAATGCTTTCAGCTCCTAGAGGCCACCTAAGGTTCCTTGCTACCTGGTCCCCTCCATAGCCCCTCTCATGCTTCAAATCTCTCCCTTCAGGAAGGTCCCAGTTTTGGTTAAGGCTCACCTGACTAGGTCAGGCCCACTCAGATAATCTCTCCTTTGATGAACTCAAAGTCAGCTGATTAGTAACCTAACCATGGGAGTGATATCCCATCACATGCAGAGGTTCTGCTCTGCCTCAAGGGGAAGGAATTGCATATGTTTGTACACTAGGAGGCAGGAACCTTGGAGTCATCTTAGAATTCTGCCCCCCAAATGACAACTCTCCCCAAAGTGACCTTTGAATTCTATGCAATCCTTACCCCAAATCCCAGCATGCTTTTCTGTAGAAATTAATAAGCTGACCTTCAAATTATACAGAAATCCAAAGGATCTAGAATATCCAAAACAATTTTGAAAAAGAATAGAGTTGAGGAGATCACATTACCTGATTCGAAAACTTACTATGAAGCCACAGTAATCAAAGCAGTGTGGTATAGCTCGGCCAGGCGTGGCTCAGGGGTTAAGCATCGACCTAGGATCCTAGGAGATGGAGATTTCATTCCCAGTTGGGGCACATGCCCAGGGCCATGCAGGAGGCAGCTGATCAATGACGACTCTCTCATCATTGATGTTTCTATCTCTCTCCCTTCTCTCTGAAATCAATAAAGATATATTAAAAAAAACAAACACAAAAACAGTGTGGTATAGGTGCAAGGATAGGCATAGAGGTGGATGGCACAGGATTAGGATTCCAGAAATAAATCCTTACATTTATGATGTTTAATAAATGATGCTGGAGCAGTTAGATATCTGAATGAAAAAAGTGAACTTTAACCTTGATGTTATGGGTTGAATTGTGTCCCCTGGGAAGATATGTCCATGTCCTGCCCCCTGTGAATGGGATCTGATGTAGAGGCAGGGTCTTTGTAGATGTGATCCAGTTAAAATGAGGCCATACTGGAGAAAGATAGGCCCTAACCCAATATGATTAGTGTTCTTCTAAGAAGAGAGGAGACAGACAGACACAGGAAAAATGCCATGTGACAAGAGAGACTGGCATGCTACATCTACAAGCCAAGGAATGCGAAGGGTTGCCAGCCCCCTCCAGAAGCTGGAAGAGACAAGGAAGGGCCCTCCCCTAGAGCCTCTGGAGGGAGTGTGGCCCAGCCCACTCCTCGATATCAGACTTCTGGCCTCCAGAACTAGGAGAGAAGAAATGTCTGTTGTTTTAGCCTCTCAGTTTGTGAAATTTTGTTATGGCAGCCACAGGAAACTCATACACCTTACTCAGACCATACAGAAAAATGAACTCGACATGGGCTGTAGACCTAAAAGTAAAAGCTAAAACTAAAAAAAATATCTAAATAAAACATGGGAGAAAATCTTTGTGACCTTGGGCTAGGCAAAGGTTTCTTGGAAAGGATACAAAAAAAATTAATCATAAAAGAAAAATTGATATATTGGACTTCATAAAAAATCCAAACTTTTGCTCATTAAAAGGTAG